TCTGAACTAGGGTACTAATTATAACGCAGGTCTGAAACAGGGTATTGATGTAAGGGTCAGGTCATAAATAGAATATTGAATTTTTGGTCAAGCCAGAAATAGGGTAGAAAATCGCATATTTTGATCTTAGATAGGACAAGGGTTTTGGGAAGCGGGCCGCACACCCCCACCCAATTTTTCGAGGAGTACCCCCGGGCTTATCATAAACTGGAGTACACTTCACACAAGCATTGTCGACCTTCCAGTGAATTCAACACCCCCTACCCCCATTCTTTCTCAAAGAAAACATTTCAGCAATGCAAGGAGCAAGAGCTTGGATGTCAGGAAGTAGAGATGATCTGGCTGTAAAACTAAAGCCGATTATTTGATTTCAATTTCAAGGATCTGTTGATAGTCCACGCTAGTGCGGTTATGGACAAATAAATATTTGTAACAACAATGCAATATATCGTCTGAAAAAAGAACACTTGACAATTATGGAAACTAGGTAGCAATACTTGAATACATTTCTTAACGTAGTAAACCGTGAAATGTTTTGTTAAATTTTATTGTAAACAGGCTAACAAACCAAGATTTTACACTTGTACACTCGAGGAACTTAATTTTAAATGGACAATGCACTTGATCTCATAAAACAAACAAACACAAAAAATTTCAACTTACTTTCTTCTCGTCCAAGACAGGGCCGGTGTTCCTGAACTGACTAGCAGCGAGGATATCAAACCTACGCCTGAACTCGCCAAATGGCATATGCTCAGGAAAGCCTATGGAACAACAACATGGACCATCAAACAAGAAGCAACATCGACCTATTTGATGAATTGCAATGTGGTAAAGAACAATATATGCCGTCAACCGCAACACACTACCGGTAAAAGGCAACTTCTAGCAGAGACAAATGTTAAAGTTACTGACTAAATACCGTATTCGAACTTTAAAACGCTAGATTTCAGGACGAAGGCTTCCCTGAAAACAACTTCAGTGCTAGAAGGCATCTTAACGATAGCGCAGAAGAGGTGTTGTTTCGTGCAGACGTTGAATAAAAATAATACTTCTGGACAAAATGGCCGAGCTTCCGACCGGCTATGAAAAGCGTCCAAGGTCCTTGAAAGGCTCTGCGGTTTCCGTCACAGACGAATAGCTATGAATACTTGATTCGGGTGCAAACAACCTTGAAATCATCGAAAATTGTCAAAACATACTCTGAAATCAATTCGTTTTGCAATAAATTGGCAACAACGTAAACAGCGTAGATCTACAAACTTGCAAAAAAAAAGCCTCCTAGTCGACACTGCACACCGTAAAGCTGTACGAGAAAGGCTCAAATACCTCCACATAACATAAAAGGACAGCAAATGAACAAACATGACCCCGATTTTCGTTTCTTCATCTCCTCTGATCGGGTTAAGCTTCGAAAAAACTAAAAAATGAGCGAACTTTTAAAATCTAGAGGCACTATTATTTAAGTTCACATGTTTGACACCGAAATTATAAATTTGCATTTTAAACTAACCTTTAATTATATTTAGCACTGCATTGTTTTCTGTCGTGTTCTAAACTATGTTAACATAACAGAAATGTTGAAATCAATTCTAAGGGTGCTATCAAAGAATACGAAACTCGTCGTAAATCACGCAGTTGTGTTCAACTTCTTCTATTTCGCATTCTTGAGTTACTGATTCTCCTAACTACACGCTATAAATTTCCTTCAATGTTTGTTCTAAGAATTGGGCGACACATCAAAACAATGTCACTGTATTTTCGCTATTTTCGACACTTGCAGGTCTGACAATGCAATGACGCTCTAGGGAGAAATTACATTTTCGTCACCCCAGAAAATAAAAGAGAAAATCAAATCGTCGAACCTGTAAATCTACTTACAAAAGATGACAAAGAATCGGCGTGACTTACATCACAAAAGAAAAGATATCGCTTCCCCTTTGAATTCGAGCTTTGTTCCTCGCACCCCTGGCTCGCACCGCTCAGTTGACCTACCGCGACCGAGTTTTGGACACGTTATGCACCGGCTTAAGCGAAGAGGAGTGAGCGACACGAGTTTCTGAAGCAGTAACCTCGTTCGTTGTCCGTCGAGTCCGCCTTTCCGTTGTACGTGCACGGGCTCATCCGCAAGAGACAAGTCAGCGCTTGAGTGCGTGGGCGACTATTTTTAGCGCATACAAACGGAACTTACCTCTAACTACTGTTTTTGGCTCGAAATTCGCTAAAAACAGAAGTTTTAACATTTTAACACGACCGCTGCTGTTTCTACAAGAGTTAATCCATGGCAAAAGAGTAAAATACTCAAAAAATAGAACACCGAAACGTCACCTGCAGTTTAAAGAGCTGAAGCGCGCGTGTTAACCAATTTAAAATATTATTGATGCTCATGTCACTTACAAATGCCGGCTTCTTTCATATGGCAAGGAAATTAGAAATCCGGACCGAGATTGAACAATATTCCGTGCACGGCCCACTTCAAGAATTTGTTTTCAAGACATGGAGAAACACGACTCTTAGAGAGATTTATAAGGCATATAACAAGTTAAGGGAATATCCGTTATATACACAAGTTTTTCAAACGTTCTAATTGTCCAGACCATTCAGTCCATTATCTCTTTGAGGTTTCATGCAACCTTAATTGCTATTATAGGTTGGTAGCGGAAGGATCCAGGAAATCGTGCGCATTTTTGGATTATTCTTAAAGGGAAAATGAAGATATTACGAAGGTTGAGAGTTTTAGTTTATCAGATGAACACAAAAATGACCATTAAAATGCTCTTGTTGTGGGGATAGTCTATTTAAAAATATCCGTCGTCATTCCTCCCTTACAAATGGAAATTCTGACTAATAATTAAAATCTCCGCACTTCAGTAATCGCTGGTGATCACGTAGAAACTACCACTCCCAATCCATCTTTAACGCCTGAATACCGCTTTAGATGAACTCAGGTAAGCTGGATCATTAATCATTCGCCCTGTACGACACATTAAAAGGCGCTCTACGGAAAACAATTGAAACAACCAGACGGAATCTTCCGCAGTGGCTCGAGCGCAAACCGGTTCATCGAATGCAAGTAATTCCCTGTTTCTATAAAAAAAAGTGAACGGGCACGCCCGTTCCAAAAAGTTAGGCGAACATGGACCATCTTGTTCTGTTGAAATTTGCTTTTAATGGGCCAACGGGTTAGGTAGAGAAGTTGCAGTGCGAAGCATCCACATTGTGAATGCTTTTAAGACCACATGAGGTCTGTAACAGCATGTGTTTCCCGAAGTGCAGAGTTCCCTGACAACAGTTTCGAAAAACATTTGCATAAAACCCGTGAAGAAACAGTTAGAATGCGGTAACGCCCAAATAAAGGACTCCCCTTACTTAAAAGAAGAAGAAAACAACTCGGAAACGCCCACTTCTTTGTCAGATCGTTTACTATTCTGGAGGACAACGGCTACAATACGAAGAAGTATTAATTCTAAGTGTCACAGTCAACCCACCTTGCCGGTGTATCCTGACAGCATCGAGCATTTCTGCGGACCTGAGTTGATGTCTGATCAGCGGTACATTCATTGACGACACCTCCTTCCCAGTCCTACTCACGGGCTCGCCATCAACGCTGTCAAACTGGCCAGCGGTTTCCACGGGGAGAATACAGCGCACGAAGTTGACCTTGGTCTTTCGAATGGCGTCCAAAATGGTGTCCTGAAATGAAACAAATACCCCGCGCTAACCGATCAGGCATTCTTTTAGCCCATAAAAGAATGTTTGATCGCACGTTTGATCGTTTATTTACACGTAAAATAAATGGCGGACGGGGAAGACAGGTGAAAAAGCTACACAGAACGGGTGTCAGTGCAAAAAATTGGGTAAGACTTTTAACAATCTTAATTCAAAACTATCCTGCAGTGATTTGAAGCTTAATTTGCGCGATAAAGAGGAGCTTATTGCATGCTGAGTATTAATGAGATGGTTTAAACATAAAGAAAGCTTTTCCGGCTTAGTGATAATCAAATTCTAATCGTTTTGGATTAAAATTTTTGTCAGACATTAGCATCATATTACGTGGACTCACCACTTGGTATATGAGCTGTAAGCAGTGTGAGTTCTTCTTGATCGCCGTGGGTGTGTTCAGCGTCTTTTTTAGGCTCCGGGACCGAGTGACGCCTTCGGCGGCCGAACGATGTCGTGAAAACATGTCTTTCAAGTAAGATCTAGAGAACAGAACAACGCACTTTTTAAAAACCTCGAGAAAATAATTCCTCTTTACAAATATCACTTAACCCTTCTGTGCAATTTGTTCTGGTCAATTTTCTGTTTTGTGCTTTTCTTTCTCTGTCAGAAACTTATTTCCCAACTTCTCTGTAACTTTTGTTTATCAAGGTTAAACAATGAAAGCGAAACCTCTCTTATCGAAGCAATTACTAAGTAAGAGAAATCTCACACTTGGGTCAGCAAGTCACCTTGTTAAGTACCCGAAATGCTTACGATTCTTACTAACCAATCCGAAAAGTGTACGAGCACTCTCGAGTATACAACGAAAGCTACCTTGCCAGCTTATCGTCATGGTTTCTTAGCAACCTCGAACGAAAACTGAACGGAGGACGCAGAACTCGCTCGAAAAGGCTGGCAAAGAGTCTTTATCGATAGGCCATTTCGAAACTACCTTGTGCATCTGTTTCAAGAGGAGGCCTCGTACAAAACCATTCATATGAAAATAAGTCGATTTGCCCGAAAATGAACTTGTAGACGAAACACATTTTCGTCAGAATGGTTTCGCACGAGGACTCGTTTTGAAACAGAGGTACCAGCAACTCGGAAATGACCTATTCGAGCAAGGGATTCAAAGGTCTGCAGGCGCATTAATCTTTATGGAAATGGAGCATAACTTACTTTGAGGACTCTGCCAGTATTGGATGAGCCTGTTTAACAGTAGCATGCTCCCTGGCCACTTTCAGCCAGCCTCGTGCATTGTACAAGACAGGCAGGTTGCCTTGGCAATGGTTGATGTAAAACGTGTCTTTGAGAGGTCCCTGTCTCACCCATGTGTCCTCTGTTGGAATAAGGATATAAGGAACAATGTTAGCGCGCAAAAAAAACTTGGTATACAAGACACAGTTCACGTAAAACGGTAGAACACAAAAGAACGAGGAATACATGTACAATGAAAATAGGTTTGTGAGGCGGTGTTCTATTGTGACGTGTCCTGTGTCTTCTACACCAAGAAGGACGCCAGACTATCGAGCACTGCAGCATAGGGAGCTTTTCACTTTTTTACAGTTTAATTTATTACAATTTAATGATAAACATGTAGAAGAAAGAAAGAAAATGACAAAACCAATACTGAGAATAAAATAAAATTACAAAGAAGCCATAAGGATAGTCCGTTAAAGGTTGGAACCCCAAACAACACAAACCACCTCTATTAAGTATGAAATCTATCGAATATATTATACATCATCAAAGCCACAATGTCCTTAAAACATCTCTAACATCTAAAAGCATGCACATTCGGCGATATTCGAACCACTAACGGTAGTGAGTTCCACATATCAACTTCAACACTGAACAGTTGCGATATGAGCATATTCAATTATTCTAACAGCTGACTGTCATCCAAATCTAAAGAACAGTTTTAAAAAACTATATTTCTACTTTACAAATTGCTTTTTCCTCGACGAAATTTACAGTACCGTATTCCAAATGACGGCATTCTTCAACAAGAAATGCTCGTTTTAGTGGTTATTTGCAGTCCGCAAATGTCCTACTTCTTAATACAGCCATTCTGAGAAGAACCTGAAGTACTGTGGACCACACTTGATAACAACGAACGGGGATACTTACTTTCGTTACAGTGGTGCACATAAAGCCGAGCCAAAAAACTGCTGTCATTCGCTCCTGGAAAGATTGATTCCTCATCCAAGATCCACAGCAAGCCTTTCTGTTCACTCTTCAGGTCTAAAGTAGAACCTCGTGTCTAAACAAACACAGATGCAAAAAGAGAAGTTACAGGGCCCGAGACAAACGTCACACCGGCACGTTGGGTTGAATTCAAGCGTGACATTAGGGTTTATCTCACTCACGCGAGAGTCACGCATGTCGTGACAAGGTAGGTTTTTGGTGTGTCCTAAATTCAATGCATAAGATACGGAATTTTTCAGTGAATTTTTAAAAGACCTGAACGTAGCGTGCTCGGTGGAGCGGATTAGCCTTTACGTGAGAGGCACAATGGTCTAA